TAAGGTAATAATTATTTAGGTTCTATATATTACGTATATGATTTAATTAAGTTTAAAGTAACTATTTAGCTAGATAAAAACGAACCCTTAGAATAAGGTAACTAAGACTATTTAGTCCGAGGAATATACCTAATACACCTGTCAAAAAGCACAAAAACGAGATATTACGATAACTCTTATAAAGATATATATCTATACTCCTTATTTATTAGTTAAAATACTAACCTACTTTATATTTTAGATTAGAAACCTTGCGATCTTTATTAATATAAGCCCTTAACGTCAGGAGTCCTTCCTTAGTCTCTAGCCCGACCACCCTCGATTAGTTCTAATTCAAAATATCCGAACTAGATAGAATTCAACCTTTTTAATACTCCGGCGTGCGAAGCGGTTACAACTAGTCTTTAATCGATTTTACTCTAAACATAATTATCCTTATCTTAAAATCGATATAGATAAGTAACGCTAGATCGACTATCTTCTTAATATTACCTAGCTATTTTTCCAATTTACTATAGTCCTCTTAAAAACAAAGGATATTACTATTTATACTATCTTTGCTATCTACAATAAGCTATTTAATCATCTTAAGAGATTAATTAGATAGCTTAATAGAAAGAAGGTTAGATAAAAATAATAGATATATCAAGCCCTTAAATTAGCTAAAGATAAACTCCGTAAGTATTACTCTATAATAGATAATAAAAAGCTCGGTAATATCTATGCGATTAGCACTATCTTAGCCTCTTAGTATAAGATTGAATTTTTTTAAACTAAAGACTAGGACTACCCTTAAATAGATTATAACGCCTAATACTAGCGAAGTCTTAAAGGTCGGCTTCTAAGCTACTAAACTAGTAATATTCCAAGCTCTTAATCACTATTTAAAATAAAATAGTCCTATTAAACTAACGAGCTTAATATATTTTTAATAGCTAATTCTTCTACCTTAAGCTCCTAGTCTAAGGTAATATAGTATATTAAAGAAGGTAAGTTTCTATATATACCCCTATTAAAACTAGGGTTCTAAGCAATCGCTTAAAACCCTGGTTCTAATCTATTAAGTTTCTATCTTTCTACCCCTATTAAAACCGGGGTTTTAAGACCTACCTTAGAACCCCGGTTTTAATAGGGGTATCGGTTCTAATCTATCTAAATATTATACTAATTATTATAATCCGCCCTCTATCTAGGTATTATCCTAATCCTACCTTGTTAGTTCTAGAAGGATCATTAATATAAATTTCCTACGTTTATAAGCCTCGCCCGTGATCTCCTCTTAATCCTAGCTACTAACGCTAGCGTTAAGCGATTATTTAATTCCGCGCGTGATATTTACTATTATTAACGAGAGGCGCTAAATACGTCTACTATATAAGATCTAATAATACTTATATACGTTACTAAATTTAAAATCGAGGAGAAGCAGCTTATATTTATTTAAGAGCTTCGGGAGCAGGATAAGTTAGAAATTATATAGGAGGAAAAAGAGACCTAAAAAACTTATAAAGAGATTATACTAATTAGTAATAATAAAAAGGAGGATACTATAGATCTAATAATTATAGTCGATATACCTTGCTAACCGTAGCAAGAAAAGTTAAGGAGTGATTATAAAGATAATTATAGCCTCCTACGGATTTCTAGTAGGGTTCGTAAACGCCCACGAGTACTTAATAATTATAAGCTTTAAAATTAAAATCGATTAATATTTAAAATAATATTCTCTAGAATTACTTTTTAAGAATTATTCTCCTAATTACTATAAAAAATTATTTAACTAAAACAAATACAATACCTAAAAATACAGCTAAGAACAACATAATTTATAAAAGTCATATAGTTAACAAAGTATCCACCTAAATAAGTTAAATAGGTTAACCTATTAACCCGCGGGACGGGTCAAAAAAATCTTGACCCGCCCACGGGTCAAGAGGTCTGACCCACGACCCGCCCATGGGCTGACCCACGGGTCGACCCATATAGGTTATCCGCGGGTCTATCCAGGTCTACTTAGCCCCTTAGTATAAGATTAAATTTTTTTAAACTAAAGACTAAGACTACCCTTAAATAGATTATAACGTTTAATACTAGTAAAGTCTTAAAGGTTAGTTTCTAAGCTACTAAGCTAGTAATATTCTAAGCTCTTAATTACTATCTAAAATAAAGTAGTCCTATTAAACTAGCGAGTTTAATATATTTTTAATAGCCGATTCTTCTATCTTAAGCTCTTAATCTAAGATAATATAGTATATTAAAAAAGGTAAGTTTCTATATATACCTTTATTAAAACTAAGGTTCTAAATAATCGCTTAAAACCCTAGTTCTAATCTATTAAGTTTCTATCTTTCTACCTTTATTAGAACTAGGGTTTTAAGGCCTATTTTAGAACCCTAGTTTTAATAGAGGTATTGGTTTTAATCTATCTAAATATTATACTAATTATTATAATCCACCCTCTATCTAGATACTATCCTAATCCTATCTTATTAGTTCTAGAAGGATTATTAGTATAAATTTCCTATATTTATAAATCTTGCCTATAATCTCTTTTTAATTCTAGTTACTAATACTAGCGTTAAGCGATTATTTAATTCTATATGTAATATTTACTATTATCGATAAAGGGCGCTAAATATATCTATTATATAGGATCTAATAATATTTATATATATTACTAAATTTAAAGTTAAAGAGAAATAGCTTATATTTATTTAAGAGTTTCGGGAGTAGGATAAGTTAGAAATTATATAGAAGGAAAAAAGACCTAAAAGACTTATAAAGAGATTATACTAATTAATAATAATAAAGAGAAGGATACTATAGATCTAATAATTATAGTCGATATATCTTACTAACTATAGTAAGAAAAATTAAGAAGTAATTATAAAGATAATTATAGCCTCCCGCGGATTTCTAGTAGGGTTCATAAACGCCTATAAATACTTAATAATTATAAGCTTTAAAATTAAAATCGATTAATATTTAAAATAATATTCTCTAGAATTACTTTTTAAGAATTATTCTTTTAATTACTATAAAAAATTATTTAACTAAAATAAATATAATATCTAAAAATATAGCTAAGAATAATATAATTTATAAAAGTCATATAGTTAATAAAGTATCTACCTAAATAGGTTAAATAGGTTAACCTATTGACCCGTAGGACAGATTAAAAAAATCTTGACCCGCCCACGGGTCAAGAGGTCTGACCCACGACCCGCCCATAGGCTGACCCACGGGTCGACCTATATAGGTTGTCCGCGGGTCTGTCCAGGTCTAGATAGGACTTAGGTAGCAATAAATATTGGATGGATTACGTAGAGGATAAGCTTTATCTTAGAAAGGATTCTATTGCCGAAAGTTTTCTAGGTAGAACCTAGTGTTTACTATTAAGAGTAAAATAGAGGGCTAGAAGATTTTCTAGGATATAGGAATTAGAGACACTTAAAAAAGAGCCAGGGAATAGGGATATAAGACGGGATAAAGGGAACGGGGGAGGGGGAGGTAAATAGGAAATAATATCTAGTCTTACTATTTAAGTAGGATATAAGTCTCTTTTATAAGTAAAGATTTCTCTAAGGCGAATCACCCTCTTATAGTGCTGAAAATTCAGACTAGTTCACCTAGCCCGGGCTATTCTATCTAAGACACGACGTAGCTCGAGCGTATCTATAAGGATAGTAGATATAGGTTACTAGATATATTTCTTATTATACTTACTAGCGGCCCCTATAATACTGGCCTATTATAGCCCTTAGCTCAGTCTCTATCTATTACGTGGCTGTATAATTATAGGAGACTTTATATAGTTAGTCTATCGTTAACCTTATTATAATATATAGGTCTATATTATACGTTAATATAGTATTTTCGCTATTAGCCTATATTACCGCGCAGTAGTTTCCAAGATATATCTACTAAGAGAAATAGGAACGGAGAGACTAATAATAACGATAACGATTAGCTAAAGACGCTTAGGAATAAGAATCTATAGACTAATCTATAATGATAGGAGCTATATAATATAACCCCTAAATAGGGTAAGACGGGATAAAAGGAGATATATAAAGTTAAAGATATCTAAGATACTACCCTAAGACTATACGAAGAATATTAGTAGAATAAAATAGATATTTAGCGAGCTTTTCTTAAGAATAGAGCGCGACGAAGGTAGCTCTATAGTATAATTAGTACGAAGTACTTTGTAGAAATTAACAAAAAGCTATACTAGACGACCGAGGGCTCGACTACCCTAGTGTTTTAGCTCCTAGATAATAGGATCGCGTCGCCGCTAACGTTGGCTAGAGTAATCTAAGTGTCGGATCGAGCGGTATCTGCGGTGGATTAGGAGGGCAGTGCGTAGGTCTATATATAGAGGTCGATAGGTGCCGAAAAGGGAGGTATAGAGGTGGTAGGGGAGGAAAAAGAAGAGAAAGTGCGTCGATGTGTCAAGGGGAGTGAGGGCGGTATTTTATAGATGGATGGGCGGGAAAAGCGGCCAGGGATGGCGCTAAACCCAAACGGGGGAACGGGTGAGGGCGCTTTACCTGAAGAGGCAGGGTGATGGCAGATATTGGCAGGCGGTCAGGAGCGGTAGAAGGACAGTGCAATGGGAGCCGTTTCTGGCGGCCCGCTCACCGTGTCCTCGTATACCCGATAATTTTGTACCTTCTAATATATTAATATAGAGAAATATAGGATTATATAGAATATTAGTCATTAGTCTAGGGAGGACTAACAGCGCAACTATGGGTCCGACTTAAGGGGACGGCTACCGAAAAGTGGTGATGTCATTTTTTCCTTGTACAATAAAACCAACGCGATCGCGGAATTCTTTCTTGAACACATGATGATATGGAGTGGCGATGTCATTTCCCCTTTATAACTCTTCAATCGCCATATTATCGGACACCTCTGTGGAGCCAACTACCCCGAAACACCTCCACTTATGTGGTCTACGTCGAACATTTTGGATCAACAAACCTGATTTCGATATGAAAGGCCTCCCCAAAAACTTGAATCCGTCAGCAAGGGTTTTCTTCCCCCTGAAACCCTATAACATTATCCACAAACCTTTCGACGTACTCCCTACGGCGAACCCAAGAGATAGGCTCATCATCCTTGACAGACAGGTCCTACAGCCAGATCGAGCAGAAACTTGTCAATTCGGTACCGACGATGAAGTTGCGCGCCACAGGTCTCCTTACGATCCTACGGAGACAACAGTAGACAAGGAGGTTTTGGCCTTACGGGAGGAGTACCGACGAGAGGGAAATCTGCATGATCCATTGCTTGTCAGCCCCGCGAACCAGGAAGTCAGTCATATACTGCAGCCAAAGGAAGAACATACCGTTCATGACATTCATCCGTTCGGAAGTGCAAGGGGTTGGAGCAATAAACGCAAAGACGCCCTTCTTCGAAAAGAGCCGTATGTTTTCAGAGCATATGAAGTTGTTTTTCCTGGATACCGGCAAGAGAAGAAGGTGAGCCCAATCTGATGTACTCAATACCTAAAATTGATTTCGAGCCATATGATTCCATAGGATTAATGATACGCTTCGCAGCCCTTTGGTGCCTTACCACCAGGGGCAAAAAATCCAAAACCAATGGAAGGGGTTACTAGGGAATTTGGGGCCTAGCGGAAAGTCCGTGCTTTTGCCCAGTATCTTCCAGTCATCTTGAATGTGGAGAGAATCCACAATATTACCCCAGGATTCTTTTCGCGCAACCTTCTCCGTGGGGTTCGCCGCTCCATGCATGACTCGGCCCAAAATGGTGCCGGGGCAATAGGGAGCAGATGGGGGAATATTCGCACCGTTCAGAGTCAGTTATTTGTCAGCTTAACTTACTAGTCTAAGAATCTTGGTTATATTTTCTTCAGAGTGGTTCAGAAGCCACTGTCGCCGCGTCATTGCCCCTCTATTCCCATTGCCCCTCTATTCCCATTGCCCCTCTATTCCCATTGCCCCTCTATTCCCATTGCCCCGTCTGGTCATTGCCCTTTCTCATCTATGAAAATTGGGATGGGGCAAAATGATCGGCTTGAAAATAGTCTTGGAAATAGTAATCAAGTAACTTCGACAGAGCACAAGGATCATGGTGGGGAACGCAGTCGTCTAGGTAGAGCAGGACTTGGTTTGACTCTATCCCCAAGTGCGCAACACAAGACGGTTATCCGACGCAGCGAAGACCGCATGACTCGCATTCTATGTATATAATAGGATCATGTAGAGGCTGAGGGGGCTGAAAGGCTTGTTGACATCATCTTGCGGGGTAAGCAACTCGGGCTGAATTGTTTCGGTGGTGGTCTATTTGGTTGAGCTTTTACTTTTCGCGGAATTCACTAGTTTTTTAGCTGTCCCCTCGAGTCGGACCCATAGCTGCGCTGTTGGGCCTCCCTAGTCTAATGACTAATATTCTATATAATACTATATTTCTCTATATTAATATATTAGAAGGCTATAAAATTATCGAGAATTAAATCATCAAAGCCTATAAAGCCGTAAAACGCAAAAAAAGCTAAATATCTCTATTTTAACGCGTAAATTAGATATTTCTTGCCGCTGGCTTTGTAAAAGAATCTACGATCGTATTTTTTATATAAAATGATATGTGACGAGTCGCCCATGGCAGTATTGGGCCCTAATTATACGCATTAAAACAATCCTATACCTTTTTTTTTAAGGAAAAAGATAAGATAAAGAAATATGCGGCCGCAGTAAACCCCGAGGGCGAGCTGCCGTTTCAACCGAGAGCCAGAGATCTTGGGAGGATCAATAGTCAACCCTTTGATCATTCACAATCCCTGTTCGTCTTCGGTATTATCGGCAATCTGAGGCCTAAAATCCGAAGCTCCCTGCATTTAGAGCAGACCAATTGCGATGACTGCCTATTATCGCTACTTTCATTCATTGTTGATCCTTCACGGCCCACAGGAAAGCTTAGCAATCTAGCTAAAGTCTAGTCAATTGAGTTTCGGCTCTCCAGTTGGGATTTTTGGTGTTGGAGAATCCAAAGTTGGCACATAGTGTTGTCGTTATATTCATCTTCGCCGTCTTTCACTCTTCTTTCTTTCTTGGAAGATTCATCTTGGCAAACTACACCATGGAACCCGAGGACCTTGAAACTGCAAGCGAAAGGGATTACAATGCCATGAACTCAGATGAGAATTCTAAAAAGGGAGCTCTTGAGGCTGTCCTAGATTGGGATGGCCCTACAGACCCTGTATGCCCTCTAAGCTTCAACTCATGCTGTGACGTTACTCGCCCTTCTCAAGAATAACCCACGGAACTTCAAAACGCCCAAGAAGGTCTTCATTACAGCTTGTTTTGCATCGCTAGTATGTATCTCCACCTTCAACTCATCAGTGATGAGTCCGCCAAGCGAGGACCTCATGCAGGACTTCGGTATATCCAAAGAAGTTTCTGTTCTGGCAACATCTCTATTCGTTCTTGGCGTCGCTGTAGGACCGATTATTTTCGGCCCCGCCTCCGAGGTTTTAGGCCGGAAGTATCCACTCAGTTTAGGTGTTTTCCTCTTCGCGATCTTCAGCATTCCCGTCGCTGTTTGCGAAGAATGTCACTACCATTTTTGTCTGCCGGTTCTTCTGCGGGACTTTCGGGGCTGCCCCACTAGCAATTATTTGTTCGAAATTGGACACCCTACTCCGTGGCTGTAATATGAATGCTAACAGGCAAACTTTAGGCAGGGGCCGGCCTGGCTGATATCTGGGAACCCCTCTCAAGGGGCGTTGCCGTTGCTGGATTCGCCAGCGCCACCTTTCTTGGACCCGTACTTGGTCCTCTAGGTAAGTTTCTTCTAGATACTCAGGTCTCATTATACATGATACATCGATCTAGTTGGCGGCTTTGTCATTGAATCCCATCTAGGATGGCGCTGGACGCAGTGGCTGTCCGTCATAATTTCCTTATTCTTTCTTTCGTTATACTTCTTTTTTTTGCCCTGAAACGTACGGTCGGGCGATTCTCACCAGACTAGCAAAAGAGAGGGGACAGAGTGCTGCAGAAAAGGAAAAGAAGAATTGACTTCAAGCAACTCGCCAGAGTCTATATTTTGAAGCCATTTATCATGCCATCAATGCCATGTTTCGAGGCCTCTTGGGTGCCGGGTTTCCTTTGTTTGCTTCCTATATGGTAGGTCAATGCCAAATGAGCAGCTTGTTTGTATTGCGCTGACACTTGAATCAGTTCAACAACCTCGAAGTTCCATGAGCAATGTCTTTGGTGGCTTTCCTCTGCGTCACTTTAGTGCCAGTACAATTCTTGTTATTTCTTTATGGTGTGAAAATCCGTGAGTGGAGCAAATTCATAGCCAAACTGTGAAATTCTAGGTAAGGTGATGGATGGAAAGAGTGGAGTGTCAGATCTCTTCGGGATATTTGCGTTGCGTAAATCGTCCTATATTTCATATGATTTTTTGAATCAAAGGTCCAGAGAGACATAATAGCTATAGAACCTGAATGTATAAATACCACATTAATTGAGCCCAGTTTGAATCAGTATTTCCAAAGTGCATTTGTTAGCTCAAACTGCGAAACGCGTCGCTCGACGTACCTTAGGTTGTATTTGCTCCTATTACATACAGAGAAAAAGCTTCAATCACATGTGCATATGTACCACCACCCACTTTGTGTATCGTGGGACTCTGGAAATCTACTAGTAGACAACAGAAGAAATAGATATATCAAGTCGAGTAATTAGACGGTGAAAACCTTTCGAAATACTCATCATTTTGTCTACATTTCGAAACTTAAATTGTAGTCGTACTTATTCACCATCAAATGGCTGATATCTACCCTTCGATATGTACAGGATTGTTTCCAAAGGATATCACGTCACCAAGGATACTGAATTTAGTTGCCACCACCAAAAACACCCCAGTCGCCCTGTGCCCATGTCGTCTTCATAGTCCAGTGCTTGATCTTCCATAAGCCGTCACTAGAATCCTTGACAAGTTCCAACCAATACAATGCACCCGCAAGCAGAGGCACAGCACCGGCCTTCATACCCTCCTCAGGGCGGAAATGCTGAGCCAGAGCTGAGCATGAAGCTTGAGCTTTCGAATCATCATCCGTGATATTGATGCGAACGTTGGTGAGGAAGTGGTTGGTATCCATCTTGGAGATATTGGCGTAACATTGGGAAACGATAGTGTCGAAGCCATTCATGACAGTCCCATTTAGCACGAATACGGCGTCGCTAGTGAAGGCGGTCTTGAACAGAGCATCGTCAGCTGTGTCAAAACCGAGGACGCAGCGGTAGAGGGCGTCGGCGACTGCATCGCGGCCAATAAGGGGAGGTGAAAGGGTAGCTGGAAGCGACGGCACGGACATCTCGAGGGTTTAAGTTATGAGTTTGACGAATTCGAGAGTTTATGTTTATTTGATTCTTTTCGTGGTTGGGGCGATTGTCTGAGCTTGGATTCGCAATTTAAGCACATGTAATTGATGCAGCTAGCGAAGCATTTATAAAATGCCAAGCTGCAGGGTGGTACAATCGAAGACGTTAGAGTGGGTCCTATCTTATCCCCGATATATCGGAGTTAGGGAGGGGTTATCGGCCCAAATTAGGCCCGAATGCGACAGGGACTCTGCAAGGCTATAACTGATTGGAAGAGTTTCGTGTGCAAAATGCCGCAATCTGGAAGAGGTGCGTAAATTAACCCCTCTTTCTTCAACATCGAATCTTTCTTACTCAGCTCCCGACTCTCGGCCGCGGGTCCGAGGGATTCTTATGATCTACGTGGTCTCGATATTCCAAAAGCGCGGATGGCCCAATACTTCAACGTGGGCATAGCTATCACAGTGAATATGTGTGTCAGATCCGCTTTTGGTAAAGGCGGTGCATAATGGATTGCACATCATTCCTCGAAATATCATATCCACAGCATTACGTACCTCGTATCATTGATTTTTTCAATCCTCAGCCCTTTTTCTATATATAATTTTTTTATAATTTATTAGAAGAGAGAGATAAAAAATATATAAATTTTATAATATGGTAAAATTCTTTTTATAAGAAACCCTTAAATATAACTAATAATAAAGATAAAAAAATTATATATAGAGGGCTAGAAAGTGGATTATAAGATTTACAGCGTGGGCTATATTACAGGACTTAAGGTAGATTACTAATATATTTCTAGGTTATATAACTAACTAGGTATTCGTATTATAAAAACTATATCGCTACTATAATTAAGAAATACGGGAGTATAATAATTCAAAAAATTTTGAAAAGTTACCCTTATAGAAAATAAAGACTTATATTATTGATTAAGTGTATGACAAAAATATCATATGATTAGAGGTATGGTTGAAAACTGATTATGTCAGATTTTGGCGTGCCAATAGCGAAAAAACGTGGGTATTGATAGGGGCACCTCAACAGAAAACAGGTCAGGGGGACCCCCTTTAGCTCTCAGTAGTATGTGGGGCGGCGAGCTCAGTAGTATGTGCTGTAATTGGCTTATATAATATCGGTCATAGTATGAAATATGTGGTATCTAGGGCTATTACATTCTTGAAATATTATGTTTTTCTTTACAGTAGCTAATAAATAATACTAGTATTTCCTATTAATTTACTAGTTTTCTATTTTTCACTACGCTATAGCAAAGTATACTTCTATTTAGTGGCGATATCGCTATATTAGAATCGAAGATCTAATCGATACTTATAAGACGCCTTCGATCGAGAGTTCTGATAATCAAGACAATAAGGAGCTCTTTAAGAGTAGGGATAATAAGCTTCTATATAAGCGTTATACCCCTAAGATAAATATATATATATATACTCTCGATAATATTATTTACTAGTTAATTACTAGTAAACTAACCTTAAAATAAAGAATAGCGATTACTTATTAATACCTTTTACTTAAGGAATAATTAATCCAATCTCTATTACAGAAATTAAGTTTATACCGTTTCTATCTAAGTATCCGAGTACTTATCCTAATAGATATATATATATAGTAAATCTTCGCTATATAATACTAAAAGAAAAAGCGAATACTCTAAACGTAATAAGTATATACTAGTAAAGTATTAGTTATTTACTAGTTACTAATAAATTTAGATCTAATATATCTATAAACGAAATAGCCTAATAGATAACGTTTTCTATTTATTTCTTAGTTATTATATAACCAAAAAAGCTTTTATATATAGTAGTATTAAGTATTACTAATATCTTAATAAGTATCTTAACGGGATACCTTATATATTAGTTAATAGCGACCTTATTAGTAAAATCTTTACTTTTCGTGATCAAAAATAAGAGCTTTATTGATATAGATAGCGTTAATATTATTTAATAGGGTAAGGAAGCTATTTACTAGTTCTCTACTAGTTTTTTACTTATTATATTTTTATACTAGACTCTATAAAACCGCCTAAATAAGATTTACCTAATATATAGTATATAGTAAATATACCCTGATATATAAGCTTAAGTTTTAATAATATTATATCCTAGTAAATATAATATAGTATTATTTATTAATATATTACTAGTAACTAACTAGTATACTAATATTTAGACTATATCTAGAATCTTCTATCTATACCTTGTATATAAACACTCTTTAATAAAAAACGTAAAAGACTATTTTAATTAAAGTCTTATAGGAAGATAGTCTAGTTTAGACTTATCTCTCCTTAAATATCTTATAGAAAAAGGCCTACTATAAGATAAAGACGAATCTTACGTTTATATATATTAAATAATAAGCCGAGTAAAGTACTATAGTAAGTATTTCTAGTAATATACTAATTTTATACTAATTATTTACTAGTATTTAGGTATAGTTTATTCTTAGGGTCGTAGTATAATCCAAAGATAATTCCTAAAATATATAGTATAATTTCGCTCTTTTATATCTCTTAATACTAAATAATATCTATATATCATCTTCTACTCTCGTGGTATTTATAACTATATCCTATTACTACTAAACCAGCCACTATAGGAGCTTATCGAAGATATCTCTAGCCTTATTAATAGGCTATAAATACTAGATCTAACGCTAAATAAATAATATAAACTAGTATTATACTAGTATACCCTTTTACTAAGTTATCTTAGGTATATTTTTATAAAGTAATAGTCTCCGAGATTTCTATCGATAATATAGCTATTATACTCTCTCTTTATTTTATTAGAGCTTTACGAAAATAGAGCGATTCTCTATAATTATTACGAAGTAACGTATTTTAATATATTTATATAGTAAAGAACTAGTAGGACTTCGCTATAAGTTTAAACGAGATAAAATACTCTAGATAGATAGGTTTATTTGTATAATATTAATATAATATTAATATTTACTAAGGTTACGTTCGTGATATTAAAGATAATAAGATAGGAATCTTTATTTTTTACGTGTTTAATAAGCAGCTTCGTTATCTTATATCTCTTAAGAGCTTTAAAGTTAATATATCTTACAAAAGAGTTAAGGGTATTATAAATAAGGTAATCTTTATAATATATATTAATAGATATAGGAAAGGTAAGTCTTCTAAACTAGTATTATATTAGTTATTTACTAATTTTTCTTTTTAGTAATTACCCTTTACTATATATATACTAATCAAGAGACTATAAAAGGATATTAATATCTTTTTAGTTAGATATTTAATTTTATTAGAGAGTTTATAGGCTATTAGATTCGATTCTACTATCTTTATAGTAATAGAATAAAATCGATTATCTATGATATATACCTAAAGTAGATAATAGGTAAGTTAAACTCTACTAAACTAGTATTTTACTAGCTTTTAACTAGTTTTAGGGATTAAATAAATACTATAAGGTATTAGTTAAAAAGATAAAACGTGGAGATAATATATAATAAATATTCTAATATTCTATAAAATCTATTTTTAATATATAGTAATAAAATTAATACTAGAGAGTGTTACGAACTGCTAACTGGTCACGGTGAGTAACGTCCGCAAAGGTGATACTTCTCTAGGAGTACTGCAGGCCTCAAGCGTATCCGCAACCGTACCAATGCCTCGGGGGCCTTCTATGGGCTCGGGTCTCTAGGGTGCTTGCAAGGTGTGCCAGTTAGAGCGCCGGTCAAGTCAGTCACTTAGGGATCGAGGATCACTAAGTAAGCTCCCAAGACCGTTGGAGGGTTGTCGCTATGTTCGAACTGTGAAGTACCAAAGGGTGGTTCCAAGTAACAATGATGGGATTGATCACGAAGAACTAAATACATGTGGTAAAGACTGTCCTTATATATCCCTTGCCCAGTATTCCACGCCCTCGTTTGTGGTATACTGCATGCAGGCATGTAGTAGTCCCATTGATATACCATCCGATATACCATTCCTTGGCGATGGATCGTGGTATATTGTCACGTGACTTATACCCTTGTTGTCCTGCATCATCACCGCGGGGTTGGTTGGCTCTGGTTTCCTCTCGTACCCCTGTTGGCGCGAGTGAGGTGGCTTGGTTCGTAACATCATCTCCCCCTCTTCCAGATTTTCGTCCTCGAAAAGTCCTTAAATTCTCGGTGTCCCCTCTAGGTGAGTTCCCACAATGTTGTCCCGTCATGTCCCCCCGCACTGCCGTTAAACCGAAGCGTAACAAGTACGCTGATAACGCTCGTTTGGGTGATAGGATTGAACGAACTGGTCGCCCCGTGGATTTCCCGTGCGATTATTGTCTTATTCGTGGAAAGTGTTGCATCATGAGTCCTTTCGTGAAGAGTAAGAAGTGTTCGACTTGTGCTCGTCGTGGACACACTTGTGAGAGGAGTTTCCACACAGATAAGGAGTGGGATGACCTGCAACAAAATGAACGAAAGTTGGCGTCCGATCTCGAGGAGGCCCAAAAGCAATTTCTTCAGCATTCGCAAAAGATGAATGAGGCGATGGCAAAGGTCCTTCGCCTCCAAAAACATCAACAATTTCTCAAAGAACGTGGTGGTCGGATGTTGGATCACGATCAGACGACGTTGGATCGGTTAAACGAAGAGGATCCCCCTACCGCCGAGGAATTTCGTGATTTTGATCGGTTGGCGGAGCAGCAGGAGATTCGTCAATTGGCTGCTACGTCGGGAGACGCTAGTCTGATGAGGATGACTCAGTCTCTGGATCAGATGCCTCCTGGCTTCTGGAGTGTCGAGGCTGCGATTGCCGAAGGGAATTTCGATCTATCCGCTGGTGGAACTGTTGAACCAGCTGAGAGCAACCCGTCAGGTGCTCAATAGGTTCCCAAGTGTTTTCAGAGGTATCGTACCCCTTCCATTTGACAAGGTAGTGAGGCTTGCCACTGATGCGTTTGTTGTCCAGAACTTTTTCGACTTCATATTCGTTTTCGGT